GCCAGGGCCTCACCACCCTCATGGTGAAGAATTTCTTCCCAATATCCAATCTAAGTCTGCCCTCTTTTAGTTTACAGCCATTCCCCCTTGTCCTACCACTACACACCCTTGTGAAAAGCCCCTCTCCATCCTTCCTGTCGGCCCCTTCAGGCACTGGCAGCTGCTCTGAGGGCACCCTGGAGCCTTCTCTTCTCCAGGCTGAACAGCCCCAACTCCTCGTAGGAGAGGTGCTCCAGCCCTCTGCTCATCTTCATGGCCCTCCTCTGGACCCGCTCCAACACCTCCATGTCCTTACGCTGGGGGCTCCAGAGCTGGACACAGGACTCAGGTGGAGTTTCACGATATGCTGAGAAAGGACATCCCAGCTGTCAGGACTGTGGAGAAGAGCTGGAGAGTGTTGAGATTTAGAGGCTTAATAACAGGAAAGCCAAGAAAAGGAATGAGTAGTTTAGGATTTCTGAGTGTCTCACCATTTTTTAAGCTACTCCTGTCATTTGGGGATTTTGGCTCTCGTCTTGCTCTTCTGAAAGCCTTGATCGCACTCTCCCCCGGTTCCTGTCGGGAAGTGATTTTGCTGAGTTTGCCCTGTAAAAATCAGTCTATGTCTCTTACTGCAGATGTGCATAAATCTCTGCCTAGGCAAGCAGACCGCCCTGGACTGCGACATCTCCAGAAATCCCAGCATGGTCCAGTCCAGGGGCTTTATTTGCTTGATTTGGGGTAAATTCCTCTCCGGCAGAAATGCATTTTTCATGCACACATTTTTGCAGGGTACAGCCGAGCCCAGCAGCCCTGTTCTGCTTTATTAATTATTATCCATTGCTTGGTCCTTTCAGGCGTACAAGAGGAAAACAGAAGCCGCGAAGAAGGAGTACCTGAAAGCCCTGGCAGCGTACCGGGCCAGCCTTGTCTCCAAGGTACAGCCTGCGGTCACCGGACGTGACGATGCGGAGTTGGTTGCAACTCACGGGACTCTCCGGGGAGGAGCAAGTTTATGAGGAACACAGTGTCACCGTGCTGTCAGAACTGACCTCAGTGCCAGCCACCTTCTCAAGGAGCTAGGAGAAATGGTCTGCAGCGCGGTTAGGGCGGGTGCCAGGCTGCCTTCTGCCTTCGCATCCTGAAACGAGACCCCGCTTTGGGTTGTCTTCGTCAGCGGGTATCGAAGCAGGGGAGGAGTGTCCCTGCCTGGGGACGAAGGGGTCCCTGCTGCCTGTCCCCACCGCCCGTGGCTGTTCCTCACCCGGCTCCCGGGGTGTGAGTGCAGCAGGAGGACGATGCTCAGTGTGGTGACACCAGGGACTGGCTGGGGGAAGGTGACAGCCCAGCCCTAGGCTCGCCGGGCAGCGCTGGGAGCAGCCGGGTGCCAGCACCCTGCCTGCGCCCTGGTCTGGGCACCTGGTCTGTTCCGGGTGCTCTGCACCCAGGGTCCTGCTCCTTCAGCCAAGAGCAGGGGTTTTAGGGAGAGAGACCCACGACTGCGGGTGGATGAGCATGTAGAGCACGTGTGTGCTTAATGCATTGCTGTCAGGCAAAACCCAGAGAGCCCATTTTGCCGCCTAATGGTGAACTTCCAGGGGATTTCAAGTTCATGCGGGAGCTCCTGGTGCTGCAAGGCTGCACGTGGGGTGGCAATGTGCCAAAGTGCCTGCCCATCCCAGTGCTCCAAACATGGACACCCATCCCAGGGGACCTCACACCTTGCCCTCCTCCATGCCTTCAGAGAGGGGACATAGGCATTTGCTGCCTGTGAATCTGCGGTGACTTCTGTGGATTGAGCCAGCAGTGCGCACGGGTGGCCAAGAAGGCCAGGGGCATCCTGGCTTGGATCAGGAATGGTGTGGCCAGCAGGAGCAGGGCAGGGATCGGGCCCCTGTGCTGGCACTGGTGAGGCTGCACCTCCAGTGCTGTGTTCAGTTCTGGGCCCCTCACTCCAAGAAGGACATTGAGGGGCTGGAGCATGTCCAGAGAAGGGCAGCGAGGCTGGGGAGGGTCTGGAGAACAAGTCTGATGAGGAGCGGCTGAGGGAGCTGGGGCTGTTCGGTCTGGAGAAGAGGAGGCTGAGGGGGGACCTTATTGCTCTCTACAGCTACCTGAAAGGAGGGTGTAGCAAGGCGGGGGTTGGTCTCTTCTCCCAAGTAACTGGCAATAGGACGAGAGGCAAGTGGTCAGGCCTTGGACCAGGCTGCCCAGGGCAGTGGTGGAGTCCCCATCCCTGGAGGGGTTCAAAAACCATGTGGATGTGGCACTTGGGAACACGGTTTAGCAGGCACGGTGGTGTTGGGGTGACGGTTGGACTAGATGATCTTAGAGGTCTTTTCCAACCTTAATGATTCTATGATCTCGTGGGCTTGCTGGCTCAGGGGGATGTGCTGCCCTTGGGTTGTTTGTGTATCAGGTTGTTTCACTTCTAAGCTTGTCCTTGGTACTGTACCACACCCTCAGTACTTTATCAGCATATTCAGCTGCTGTGGGAAATAATGTGATGTCCCACATCAACCATCAGCTGCAGGACCCATGTGATTGTGGTGGTGGGCTGGAAAGGCTCAAAGCCCCTATACAGACATGAGCACCATTAGCTGTCTAAAGCTGTAAACAGAACAGCAGCAAGGACAGAAAAAGGGAATGGAAAGGACTGTTCAGGGGTTTAAAAGCTCTTCTTGGTCCATCTGGAAACCTCTGAGGGTTTTGCAGAGGGTGCGCAGCAGCAGTGTAGGGCAGGTAGCATGGAGGGCATGGAGTCACTGTGCACCGTGGTTTCGTTTTTTCCCAGTTTCTCCAGTGACCAGTTCTTTGCAGAAGAGCAACTTTGTTTTGAGTAAAACAGCACAGTGTGATCCTGGCTACTGCGTGAGAAAGGATCTGGAGTATCCTTACAGAGCCCATCGCAGGACAAAAACCTCATTGTCCGAGCCAGAAAATGTCCCGTTGTTCTTCTCTCTTCCCTGCAGAAGTGAGGCCACCGTTGTGCTGCGCGTTACGGACCCCGCCAGGGCTGCACGGGATTGGGAGAGCAGAGTTTTCACAGTCCCATTCGTTCTCTAGTGGAAGCAAAAGTGATTTTGTCACCCACCTGTGTGGACCTAAGGAGTGAGCTGCCGGCGTGTGGTTTGCTGCCACGCTGGTTAATGCTTCTCTGGTGCTCCAGGCTCTGCCGAAGGCACGGTGGAGTTACTGGACTTTAATGTCCCAGATGTGGATACTTCACCCAGCCTGCGGTCACCCAGCGATCGAGCAGCAGTGCTGGAAGTGCATGTCCTGGCTGGTGGAGAGAGGACATGGGGGGTCCGGGTGGCTTGACTGGACGGACAGACATCTCAGGACACATAGCAATGTTTCCTCCCTTCCTTCCTCACCACCCTCCGTTCTGTTTTTCCACAGAGCTCTGCCGACCAGGGGGAGACGAAAAGTGCCCAGAACAATCCATCTTCCAAAATGATCCCCCCCAAGCAGCCCATGTACCCGATGCCGCCGCAGGCTTCCTCGCCCTACCCCGGCCTGGGCTCGTTCCTGTCCCCCTCGGACCTGCAGAAACACCGTGGCCCA